TAACAAATATTATAAATATGATAAATATAGATCATCGATCAAATATGACCAATCTGTCATATTTGTCAACTAAATCAAATGATCACTGCAGTCACAAATCACGGCTTCAATCCTCTCCTTCTAAATTTGAAGATACTACCCAAATATCGATATAAATTACTTGATAGTCAGTAGATATCCTTCAACATTACATTTCAGGTTCGTTAGATTTGATCCACTCCTAAAGCTTCAAATAAGTAATAAGTCCTAATAGATACAAGACCATAATACTTAGTAAGTAATGCTCTTAATTGACTTCTTTGTGCAGGTGTAGATGTTTCAGTTTCAAGTAATTTTCCTAGGTAGTAGGCATTTATTAAAGTAAAAATTCGATCCTTAATTCTTGATAACTGAAGTAACATTCAATATGTAATTTGAATTTTCTTTTGCAAATCTAATTCAGCAGAGTACGAAGGGAAAGCAGGTGTTACTTCTAAAGGTAAGGTTTTTTTTAAATCATTAATAATAATTTGTTTCATGATAGATAAAAAAAATTAAAATTCTTAAATTGAATTTTGAAATGAAAAGTCCTTATATATTTTTAAAAGATCTCTATTTACTGGGGTTCGAAGTACACAACCATCTAATTCTCTTATCTTATATGATCCATTTAATAATAATTGATGGATATAGTATGGTCCTTTCCATTTTTATTCTAATTTTACTAAATGTGTTTTGTCTTTAGCCGCTTCAAAATACAAATCTTTATCTCCTATAATAAATGTAACAGAGATCTTGGTATTCTTATCACGATATTTCTTTTGTTTTTATTATGCAAGTTGTATTTATATCTTTGCATCTTGTCACACTAATGGCAATTTGTTGATCAGATGATCAACTCTATCTTGTAAAAGAAAATCTTGATTGATACAAATATCATCAGGATCATCAGGATTATCAATTGGTAACGTTGCATTTCGTCTATAGACTAAATAAAAAGGTTCTATTTTTATAGCTGATTGTTTACTTGTATGGTAAGCAAATAATACAGGTGAAATATATTGGTCCTATTGGGTAGATTTTTCAGCCAATTTTGCCAAAGATTCACACAAAGTTCTATTAAATCTTTCTACTAATCCATTCGTCTTAGGATAATAAGAAGTTGATAAATTATGTCTAATATGAAATTGTTCTATTAATTGAGTAACAAGCTGATTATTGAAATGAGATCCTCTATCAGATAAGATTTTTGTAGAACATTCATGTCAGCAAATTATATCCTCATATAAGAATTTGATAACATTTTTAGCAGTAGCATCTCTTACTGCTTTAGCTTCAGGCCATTTAATTAAATAGTCAATAGCAATTATAATATATTTGTTTCCTCTACTTGTTCATGGTAAAGGTCCAACAAAATCTATTTCAATTCTATAGAATGGTGAATCAACTGGAATAGGATGTAATTCATTTTTAGTTTTAGGCTTTCCTCTTCGTTGACATGCATCACATGCTTGAACATAAGATCTAATATTTTCGTACATTTGAGGCCAATAATATCATGTACAAATTTTGTTAAACATTATATCAGTAGAAAAATGTCCAACTGTTGGATCATTATGCATCATGTAAAGAATTGCTTCTAGTTCTAATACTTTGGTTACTCTTAACAGTTATTCTGGATTCTTTTTAGGTTCCTTATATAATAAATCATTTTTAACTTTAAAGAAATTTGCTTGTCTTTTTAATTTAGTGATATTTTGAGAATTAAAGGAATGGGAAAATGTATTTAAGGTTAAATATACAAAAAGGTTATTATATTGAATAGTATCTATGATTATTTGAGCTGCCTATCACAATGTTAACACTTTAGCTTTCACTCTAAAATATGTGTTTAAATAAATATAACTTTTTAAATAATTTATAATAAAAGAATATTTAATAAGATAAGGGGTTTATTAAAGAATCAAGATGTTTAAGGGATTCATAAAGTTGTGCATAGGCATTTTCTTGTTGTACTATAATAGGTTCATTCTACCAAAGGTCATTATATAAATAAGTTGGATTCATATCAGATTGAATCTTCCCAGAGCCGAATCTAATAATACAATTATGGATAATAGTTTCATAAGATAAGTTTGTTTTACAAGCTTTAAAATATGTGTGGATATGATGGTTTTCAATATCACAATAAAAGGTACATTGCGAGCCACCTTTAGTTATTGGTTGGTTAGCAATTACTTGCTTAATCTTCAAGTTTTCATTATAAATATTCTCAAGTTCTTTTTGAACACATTTATATCCAATTGTAATTAAAGGAGTATTTGCGAACTGTTGGGATAATTCTTGTTCAAACCATTCCTCATCTCTTAAAATATTATCCTTGTTAGTTGAAGAATTGTTACTTGATGAATACCATTCAATTTCTTCATCAATACTATCTTCAGAATATTCCAAGAAACTTGCTTCTCCATTAATTGTAGCCATAAATGCTTCTCTGTAAGATTCATCATTTTCTTGTTTAGGAATTAATCTGGATAAAGCATCAGCATTGGCATTATTTTTACCAGGATGATGTTGAATATTAAAGTCATATTGTTATAACTTCATGATCCATCTAGCATGTCGTCTTTTAGGAATTTTTGAGATTCTTAACCATTTAAGAGTAGAATGATCAGTCACAACTGTAAATGGTTTAGAACTAAGGTAATAATGAAAATTTCTAATAGCCCATACTACTGCAAGACATTCCTGATTAGTAATAGGATAATTTTGTTCTGCTTTATTCATACTTTTACTAATATAAGCAATTACATGTTCATTATTATCTTCGTTCATTTGAGATAGCACAGCACCCAATCCTACTCCTGAAGCATTGGTATATAGAATAAAGGGTTTAGAGAAATTCAGATATTGAAGGATAGGCAATGTAATCAACTTATTCTTCAGTGGTTCAAAAGATTTCTGTTGAATTTCTGTCCAATTATATGATATATCTTTTTTTAATAAAATAGTTAAAGGTTTAGCTATTTGAGAAAATCCTTTAACAAATTTTCTGTAATAAGAGAATAATCCTAATGCTGCTCTTAATTCAATTAATCCTTGTGAAGCAGGTAATTCTTTGATTTTTCTAATTTTTTCAGGATCAGGTTGTAAACCATTCCTTCCTACGATATGTCCAAGAAATGGAATATTTGGTAGACAGAATTGACATCTTTTAAGTTTGATCATTAACTTTGCTTCTCTAATCGCTTTGAATACAAGTGTAAGTGATTAACATGTTCTTCATAAGAGGATAAATAGATTATAATATCTAGGGTTCCTCAAAATCAAATCAAATCAAATATTGAAGCAATTTGAATTTGATTTGATTTTTTCGAATCAAATCAAATCAAATCAAATCAAATCAAATATTTGATCGAATCAAATCAGATTTGATCAAATTAAATCAAATCAAATTCAAATTGATCAAATCAAATCAAATCAAATATAAAATTTTTTTTTAATTATTATAATGATATATTAAAATAAAGTTATTCCAAAGTTTTAATTAAGAAAATCATTAGTAATTGCACTAAAAAATTTAAAAATAGCTTTTACAAAGTAAGTTTAGTAACAGGTGCATTTTTATTAAGAAAAACATAGTAAAAAATGCCTCTGCAGCTTCGAAAATGCTTTTTTTACTAAGTAAAACAGTAGAAAATGCCTCTGCAGCTTTAGAAATGCTTTTTTACTAAGTAAACTATAGTAAAAAACGCCTCTGCAGCTTTGAAAATGCTTTTTTACTAAGTAAAACATAGTAGAAAATGCCTCCGTGGCTTCAGAAATGCTTTTTTACTAAGTAAAACTGTAAAAAACGCATCCGCAGCTTCGAAAATGCTTTTTTTACTAAGTAAAACATAGTAGGAAACGCCTTTGCAGATTCAGAAATACTTTTTTTACTAAGTAAACATAGTAAAAAACGCCTCTATGGCTTCGGAAATGCTTTTTTACTATGTTTTCTTAGTAAAAAACGTCTCTGTGGCTTCAGAAATGCTTTTTTACTATGTTTTCTTAGTAAAAAAACGTTTTCGAATTCGTGGAGGCATTTTCTACTATGTTTTACTTAGTAAAAAAAGCATTTCCGAAGCTGCAGAGGCGTTTTCTACTATGTTTTACTTAATAAAAAAACATTTCTGAAGTCGCAGAGGCGTTTTTTACTATATTTTTCTTAGTTAATATATCATCTCTAGATGGTTTTACTATTGATTCAAACTAAAGATGATACAGCAATTGATTTCAAATTTACAAAATGTTGCAACATATTAATTACAGTTCCTATCTTTAATTCAAACCAAATCAAATATTTGAATAGTTGATTTAAATTTGATCAAATCAAATCAAAAGATTAATTTGGATTTAATCAAATAAATGATTCTTTGATTTGAATTTGATCAAATCGAATCAAATATTCAAATATCAAATCGAATTGCGAAACCCTACACATAACCATCAGATTTTTGCTGCATAACTTCAACTTTCAGATCATGAAGGAGTAGAATTTACTACTGAAAATAATCGAAATACCGAATTTTCTTTGAATGATATCAGATCAACTAGTAAAGAGGAAGAGTCTTCCAAAATATTCGAAGACTACTTATGTTCTTGGTTTAAACTCTTTCAGGATTCAATTGCCACAGAAATGATGAATGATAACAAATTTTTATGGATTTTAATTTGGATTATGAGCTTTCGGGCAAGGTTTAACCTACTAGAAACAGCTACACAATCATTACTAAAATTCATGAAATTGGTATTGGTAGAGATCGGAGACTCTGATTATGATGAGTTTCCTGACACTTTATACCTTGTAAAAAAAGGTTCTTGATTTTAAGAACTGATTTTATAACTTTGCGGCATGTCCGAAATGTCATAAATTATACAAAAGCAAGAAATGAGAAACTCAATCATTAGAAAGTGTCATCACGTCGAATATCCGAATTCAAAAATTCGTAGAATACAATTATGTTAAATGCCTTTATCTTGATCAACAATGTTATTAAACAGACAGGTTTCAATTCAACTGATCTTAGTTATCCATTTGCTGGTATTCAGCAACAGTTAGCATCCATGTATTATCATACCGGCTTTAAAAATTCACTATGCCATTGGGTAAATCAGGTATCTTTTGATCAGATTTTAGCTGACATATATGACAGACAAGTTTGGAAATCACTAAAGGATAAAAACTCGACTAATTTTTTTCAGATTGACATGGCTGATTCACATTTTGAGTTAATGATTAATTTAGATTAGTTTTAGTCGTTTGAAGGTACAATGTATAGTACTGGTATTATATATGATGCCATATGTAATTTACCACGTGATATCAGATTGAAATGTGAAAATTTATTGATAATTGATCTTTTACTAGGACCATATAAAGTTAGCTTACATAAAATAAATCATTACCTTGTGTCAATTGTTGACGAATTAGAGATACTTTAGGCTGAAATGTTTTTAAATCACATATTTGAATTTCCAGATGGAAGATTTATTTGGGCAGCATTGATATTAACTTCATGTAATGTTTTTGCTGCCAGAAAAATATGTGATCATGTATTAGCATTAGTTTCATGCCATAGATGCAAGAAGAAAGCCAATTATGAAAATCGTCAGCATAACTTTGCTGGCATGAACAACATAAATAAATGGTTCATTATTTGGGATTCAATTTAGCATCTTCAGGATGCAATTTAATGAAAACATTGTAAGTTGGACGCTACCAGGAAAAGATTTGTAAAACAAACTGGTGTAAGGTGGTCTGAGTTGCTTTATCTGCTATACTTTAATCCTATTCATTTCATCATTGTCGATCTGATGCACTGTCTATTTTTGGGCATCACGAAATGGATAGTTATATGAATATAGGTTAACGAAGGAATATTAATATTAACAGAACTCAATAAAATTTAAACGAAGATGAATGATTTTATGTCCCATCTGACCTGGGTCGAATTCCAAGCAAAATCAACTGCAGAGAAGGGTTCTCTAATTTTACAGTTGATCAATGGCGGATTTTTTTCGCTATTTATGCTATAGCTGCACTTTAGGAATACCTTCCGGCTAAGGATCAGAAAATTCTTACATATTTTATAAGAGTTTGTGCTATTTTGGTGAGCTTAATTGTAGAAGTTGGCCTAATGGAAGAGGTTCACCAAATATTAATTAAAATCATTAAATTAATCAAAGAACATTACGACTGAAATAAGGTGATTCTGAATTTTCACCTTTCACTTCACTTATGTAAATGTTCCTATAACTATGGCCCTCTCTATACATTCTGGTGCTTTTCATTTGAACATACTGTATGAATGGCATTTTAGGCAAATCGAAATTTTGCTTTTCTTGTGTTATTTTTAAGTTATTTCTTTAATAATTTTGAAATTTACTGTACATATTTTATATTAGGTTCTTTGCCAAATAGCAATCGGCAAATTGAATCAGAAATCATATATCAATTACAATTGATAATCGAATTAGTGACATAAAAAGTTCTGGAATACTGACAAAGGACCTTGAACTACTTAATGATCGACCTGCTATTGGTTCATTATCAGAAATCGATCAATTCTCATTAGATGAGATGCATCATTTTTGGCTTAACTCAAGAAATATCTGGGAATTAAGAATTACAGGAAGTGAGTCATTTCCTGAAAGTATGCTGAAACTGGTTTCAAAAAATGTTCACCTTTCAAGTTCAATACTTGATTTGATGGCAGAATACTATAATGTGACGTATAAAATGCTCAATTTTCAGAAACCATTTGGAGAAGATGAGGAAGACTCGATAATAATCTGGGTTTCAATTGAAAAATTTGAATGATGTTAAAATCGGATTAGAAGTTTTTGGATTAATAGTATCAGCATGACACACAAATAGTTCATTTGTTTTGGCGAAATTTATTACAAATGATGATGTTGATACTTACCTACAGATTCAATATTTTTTCATATATACGGTTGATTTACCAGGTGAAGTGACAAAATATTATTTAGCTTATATTCAGTGGTATCAGCATACGAATTCGATTTTATTTTAGTATTAATGACAAAGAAAGATCATATGGGAGCTTTGCAATAGAAAGGGAGGAAACTCTAAAAAAAATTAAAATTTTACTTTCTAAGCTAATTATGA